AATTTTTACCTCATTGACGGGGGGGCTATGGACCTGAGGAAAGGACCTGGGTGCCAGCTAGTCGGATTGTGGATAGGACTCTCATCACCGCTTTCCACCAACGGCATCCTGATCAACCTGCAATCCGTAGGGGCCGCCCCAGAGGGGTCCCTAACCGTCCGGCCCGCTCGGCTTCCTGTCCTGTGCCTGATCCTGTCTCGGGACCTGTCCCATCTCCCGACCACGGCCCTCCGGCTTCCTCCGAGGATGAGGACGTTCACTCGGACCGTTCGGAGGAGTTCTAGCCCTCCTCCGGCTCCCCTCCTCCCGCCCGGCGTGGTGTTGCTCTTGGGACTTCTGGGGCCGTCCCTTGGGGGGGGGGTTCTGTCATGGGCCTCTCACTCCACCGGGTTACCACCTTAATTTTCTTCCACTCTGCTCACCACTCTCTCTACTCAGCCTAACTAGCTCCACCTGTCCCTGCTCTGCTCTGCTCTAATTACTCTGCCAGCTGCGCTGCATTACCCACTACCTCTCCCAGTATTTAAGGCCCTGTCTTTCAGCTCTCCGGTGTCAGATCGTCTGCAAGGCTCACACCCGGAACCTGTTTGCTCGCGCTTCTGGCTCTCCCTGGTTTTGTGACCCCGGACCTGCCTGTTTTTTGGATACTCTTCTGCCTCAGGAGATCCAGACCTGCTTCTGCCATTACGACTCCTGACTACTCTTCAATCCCGGACTTCTGGACCACCCACCACCGGCTTCATAGGACGCATCGCTGCCACTGGGGGGGGCACAGACCCAGCGCATTGGACGGGATCCCTGTTACCCCTGGAGCCTTCATTCACTCCCTACTTCCCTTTTCCCTTAAGTTTAATAAACTTTCTGGTGTGACGCAATTGTGGTCCTCTGGTCGTCTGTCTGAACCGTGACAAAAATGAGTTTTAATGACTCCAACCTAAGTGTATGTAAACTTCCAACTTCAACTGTATATAAACCCTGGATTGCGGATACTATGTATTGGCCATAGAGAGGCTTTGAAGCCACCGGTTGGCCATATTGGCACTACCTAGTAGGAGCAGTCCTCCATGGGAATGAATGGAATTTTAATTAAATTAAATGTTTCAAGGACAAAATAGCATGTATTTAAGTATGTTGTTGTTGTAGTGGGGACTGTAACATTAGTAATCAAAAAAATCTATACTTTAAGGAAAATGTATATTTTTAGATGTTTTATATGTTTAGCTCACATAATATAATTTAAAAGTATGCATTAAGGTGTGTGTAATAGAATAAACAAGGCAAAAACAAATGTAGACATTAATACATGCATTTCTATAGCTTCCAAAATATTTTGTACAATGGTGAGGGTGCCAAGATGTAGGTGCGGTGACTTCAACACAGCGCCCCTTATCAGTCATCTAGTGTATATATAAATAATTGGTCAGGACCCTCTCACCATCCCATCCACACATTTGAAATACTTTACTTGAATCCATAAATCACATTACATTCATGAATGATTCAAACATGTCAAAGGTATTTGTATGCATGGACACTTAAGGATACAGAAAGCACCTTCTTCTCCAAACAGCTAGGATGTCCATAACAGCTGAAACAGAGCAGTTCCTAACCAATTGCTTTGCTTTAGTCTTAGGCAGGCCTGCAATCTGGAGGCCACGTTCTGTAAGCCTATGTACGTGGCGCAGACTGCCAAATATCAGTGCTACTAACTTGCACCTATATCCGTCTTGTGAAACTACCACTAACTTCATTCATACTGCATTGTATCCACAAGTTCAACTGACTCTGGGTAAGTAGAACAATGCCAGAATTTCGCATTATCCCTTGAAGAACCTTGTCAGAAAAGGTCTGCTCCATGTAACAGTTAAATGAGCAGCCCACTTCCAAAATGAGCACACACACACACACACACACTTACTTGCTTGTGGTAGTCCATCTTATCTGATGATAAGCCTTTGTGTGGCTCTTTGCAGACAGGACATGTGAAGTCTCAGATTGTGGGTGTAGGTGCATTCCTAGCTTCATGTCTCTTGAGATGTTTTCTTCTCCGTAGCTCATTCCTGTCCTCCTCGAGTTTCTGCACTCCTTGCTGGCAGAGCTGGCACCAGATGGAGTATTCAACGGCAGTGTCCTCCATCTGGGTAGGGTTAACGCTGCACTTTTTCATTTCAGTCTTTGGTTGATCATTGTAGCGCCTTGTAGAGCAGTGACTCTGGTGCAGTCGACCATACAAAAAAAAAGGACTACTAAAGGCCCAGTTTTGGGATTTTCTAAAATTGTGCTACACCCCAGCACCCCTACTTCCCATGGCTATGGATGTGGTGACTCTAGATGGTCCAGGTCTTGCAGCTGTTGAGGAGAGTTGTGATGATCACTGCCGGTAAACAGACATTTTTGTCTGAAGGTTGGGGTCTTTGTTCTTTCAGACACACGTGTCCGAAAGGTGAATTAACATAATGAGTTTTCAGATCAAGCATCCTTGCATAAGGAGTGTCTTAACCGGCCAGTCCGGGTCACCTTTCCATCCACTTTAGTTTCTAAGGTCAAGATTATGACCACTTCAACTGGTATGACCAATCCAATGTCACTGTATAATCCTTTACAATTACGGACTCCATACCAAATCCGTTATTTAGAAATCACGCATTCACTTTCATTACTAACTCATGTTGTACCATCTCAATACAATATTAATATTGAATAGAAAAATGATGTGTGCTTGTTTGTGAGATATGAGATTATCATAATTATATCAGTATCTGTCTCTGATTCACATTTAAGTTTTTGATGTAAATAAAAATCCTATATACTGTATACTGTATATGATATAGTTTCCAGGGGCTTACCATGAGAAGGTAGCAGATGGGGGTTATCATGTGTTATCGTATTGTAATATTAACGACATAAGACAACATAAAATAATAACATAACATACAAATTTATTTTTTAATCATTTTTGTGTATTTGCAAGTCTGTCTAAAATAAAAGGTTTGCTTCATGGCAGAAATTCTATAAATGAACAAACAATCTTATATGAATGTTCAATTCTCAGTGTACTATAAACAATTTACAAATTAATATGTACAATTCTCCCCAGATCAACATTGATTCAGAGGATGTTTTGAGCCTGTACTAGCTTTTGGAAATAGATTAAATACATGGCAGCAAAACATACATACAAGTTCCATGTAGAGAAGTTCATTTTTGTTCCTTTCATACGTGTCTGTTTCCAGATCAGTTTGATGAATAGGGAGAGTTTATGCGGGTGCAACAGAGGAAACCTCTGTTTTTGATGTAGACACTTCAGAGCCATCATCTTCTGCCTTGCCAAAGAGCTGCATGATGCAAGAACGGAACTGGAGAGATGTCACGATCGTCTAGGAGTGAAGGAGACCAAAGCGCAGCGCGTTGAACGAACATGACTTTAATTAGAGTAAGCACGTAAAATACAAAACAAAAGACGACTCGTGAAGTCCACAGTACAAATACTGAAACACGGAACAATAACCCACAATGCCCACAAGAACACATACAGAATAAATATGGCTCCCAATCAGAGATAACGAGCCGACAGCTGACACTCGTTACCTCCGATTGGGAGTCATATGACTAATCAACATAATACAACACTTTGACACCCAACATAGAACCAAACCACATAGACTGCACACACCCTGGCTCAACATAACGAGTCCCAGAACCAGGGTGTGACAGTACCCCCCCCTAAAGGCGCGGACTGCGACCGCGCCTCAAAACCCCCAAACAGGGGAGGGCTGGGCGGGCATACCTCCTCGGTGGCGGTTCTGGCTCCGGCCTAGACCACCACCCCACCATAGTCACTACCCGCTTACGTAGGTTCCTCCAAATGACCCCCACCGGTTTAAGGGGCAGCACCGGACTAAGAGGCAGCACCGGACTAAGGGGCAGCACCGGACTAAGGGGCAGCACCGGACTAAGGGGCAGCACCCGACTAAGGGGCAGCACCAGACTAAGGGGCAGCACCAGACTAAGGGGCAGCACCAGGATAAGGGGCAGCACCTGACTCAATGGCGGATCCTGGCTGGCTGGCTCTGGCGGATCCTGGCTGAACGGCTCATGGCTGGCTGAAGGATCTGGCTGCTCATGGCTGGCTGACGGATCTGGCTGCTCATGGCTGGCTGACGGATCTGGCTGCTCATGGCTGGCTGACGGATCTGGCTGCTCATGGCTGGCCGACGGATCTGGCTGATCCGGTCTGGCCGAAGGCTCTGGCTGATCCTGTCTGGCGGAAGGCTCTGGCTGATCCGGTCTGGCGGAAGGCTCTGGCTGATCCGGTCTGGCGGAAGGCTCTGGCTGATCCGGTCTGGCGGAAGGCTCTGGCTGATCCTGTCTGACCGAAGGCTCTGGCTGATCCTGTCTGGCCGAAGGCTCTGGCTGATCCTGTCTGGCGGAAGGCTCTGGCTGATCCGGTCTGGCGGACGGCTCTGGCTGATCCTGTCTGGCGGAAGGCTCTGGCTGATCCTGTCTGGCGGAAGGCTCTGGCTGATCCTGTCTGGCGGAAGGCTCTGGCTGATCCGGTCTGGCGGAAGGCTCTGGCTGATCCTGTCTGGCGGAGAGCTCTAGCGGCTCCGGTCTGGCGGACGGCTCTGAAGGCTCATGGCAGACGGGCGGCTTTGCAGGCTCAGTACAGACGGGCAGTTCAGACGGCGTTGGGCAGACGGACAGTTCAGACGGCGTTGGGCAGACGGGCAGTTCAGGCGCCGTTGGGCAGACGGGCAGTTCAGACGGCGTTGGGCAGACGGACAGTTCAGGCGCCGTTGGGCCGACGGGCCGTTCAGACGGCGTTGGGCAGACGGACAGTTCAGGCCCCGTTGGGCAGACGGCCGACTCTGGCCGTCTGAGGCGCATCGTAGGCCTGGTGCGTGGTGCCGGAACAGGAGGTACCGGGCTGAGGACACGCATCTCAGGGCTAGTGCGGGAAGCAACAACAGGACGCACAGGACTCTGGGGACACACAGGAGGCTTGGTGCGTGGTGTATGCACTGGTGGTAAAGGGCTGGAGACACGCACCATCGAGCCAGTGCGTGGAGGAGACACAGGGCTCTGAAGACGCACAGGAAACCTGGTGCGTGGTGTAGGTACTGGTGGTACTGGGCTGGAGTGAGGAGGTGGCGCCGGAAATACCGGCCCGTGCAGGCGTACTGGCTCCCTTGAGCACTGAGCCTGCCCAACCTTACCTGGGTTGATGCTCCCCGTCGCCCGACCAGTACGGGGAGGTGGAATAACCCGCACCGGCCTATGTGGGCGAACCGGGAACACCATGCGTAAGGCTGGTGCCATGTACGCCGGCCCGAGGAGACGCACTGGTGACCTGCTGCGTGGGACCGGCCTCATGACATCCGGCTCAACACTCAATCTGGCCCGGCCGATACGTGGAGCTGGACTGTACCGAACCGGGCTATGCCTGCGTACAGGAGACACCATGCGCTCAACTGCGTAACACGGTGTCTGCCCGTACTCTCGCTCTCCACGGTCAGTCCAGGTAGTAGGCGCAGGTCTCCTACCTGACTTCGCCACACTCCCTCTTAGCCCCCCCCCAAGAAATTCTTGGGTAGTACCCACAGGCTTCCAGTCTTGCCTCCGTGCTGCCTCCTCATATCGCCGCCTCTCGGCTTTAGCTGCCTCCAGCTCTTCCCGAGGACGGCGATATTCTCCCGGTTGTGCCCAAGGTCCCTTACCATCCAGAATCTCCTCCCATGTCCATGACTCCTTTATGGGTGGATATAAATCCTGTGTAGGTGGATCCTGTTGCTCCTGGACGCGCTGCTTGGTCTTTCTTAGGTGGGTTATTCTGTCACGATCGTCTAGGAGTGAAGGAGACCAAAGCGCAGCGCGTTGAACGAACATGACTTTAATTAGAGTAAGCACGTAAAATACAAAACAAAAGACGACTCGTGAAGTCCACAGTACAAATACTGAAACACGGAACAATAACCCACAATGCCCACAAGAACACATACAGAATAAATATGGCTCCCAATCAGAGATAACGAGCCGACAGCTGACACTCGTTACCTCCGATTGGGAGTCATATGACTAATCAACATAATACAACACTTTGACACCCAACATAGAACCAAACCACATAGACTGCACACACCCTGGCTCAACATAACGAGTCCCAGAACCAGGGTGTGACAAGAGAGGAATAATTAAACATAAGAAGACTTTGAAATTGTGTGTCTATCTACAAAGTGAGCGAACACATCATCAGCTGATGCTTTTTAAAATAAAATAAATGTACACAAGAAAGGCAATTGTGAAACATTTAGAAAAATTTGTATTGTTAGAGCTTTGTAACATGAAATCAGTAAGATAAAAAAAAATGTCTGAAAATCTTGTTAAGATTTACCTGTTTGTTCATGAAGACATATATAACTGGATTGTAGATGGTGGCGCTCTTGGCAAAGTAGGCAGGGACTGCGGCAGCCAGAGGGTGGAAAGCATACCCAGGGTTAGCCGCAGCAAAGCAGGCAAAGCAGGTATAAGGTCCCCAGCATACACAGTAAGCTATAATCATGACAACAACCATCCTGGACACTTCCTTCTCAGCTTTCTGTGTTGACTCAGAGTCTTTCTGCTGTGCGGCAACCTGTGGTCATTCAGAAGGAATATGAAATGGTTATATTTAACCCTCTAATATGCCTTTTCAAAAGGTACACTTGACCGATATTGTATTGAAAAACATAGTTGATTGCTACAGTATAGTATATTTAAAATATCACTTACAGCACGGATGGCCAGCCAAACAAAGATGTAGCAGAAGATGATCACGAACAGGGGGAGGAAGCAGCACGTAATCATGAGAACTATCATGTAGGACTTGACTCCAGGATCCTCATTGCCTCCGAAGACATCAGGTCCACATGAAGTCTTCAGGCCATGAGGCCAGTACCTGGTAGAGGGCGAGAGATAGAGAAATTGGTTAAATAATTGCATATTTTGAACTTGAATCCTCAGTGAAATAATAAGAGAAATCCCCACCTGCTCCAGCCAAAGATGGGGGGAGCACACCAGAAAGCAGCCCAGACCCAGGAGAAGATAATGCCTCCCATAGCCCATTTGGCATCAAACTTGACACTTCCAAAGGGCTTGCACACCACCACCCATCTCTCCCAGGAGATGACAGCCAGAGACCACAGAGCAGCGATACCTGCATAAGATATACATATAAATTAGACAAAAGAGACATTCTGATTACTGTCACTATGCTATGGTGTTCTAGCAACTGCCAATTACTCTTTCTCAGCACTGTGCAGCAATGTAGAATTTCCTTGTTAAATATTAGATAAAATTGTAGTCCATGTAAAACTGCATTTTACCACAAGTGGAGACAGTGAATCCCTCAAAGACACACATTGGGTGTCCCAGAATGAAGTAGCCAAAAATCTGGTTGATAACGCTGATGGTGCTAGCCAAAAGTGTCTCCCCAATGTCAGCAATAGCAAGATTGACCAAGATCCAGTTGAGAGGGTGTTGGAGCTTCTTGAATTTTGCAGTGGCCACCAGTACCAGGCCATTGGTGAAGACTGAGAGGATGACCACCATGATCATCCAAAGTGTTGAGACATTGTACACCCATCTTGGAGCAATGTGGTAGTTGGGGCCCTCAAAGGGATCTGAAAGAAAACAGAGAAAGGTATTTCGTAAGGAGGAAATGACAGGTGCAAGTGCCTGGTTAGATGAACTACATGCTTTTAAATGATCAATGGAGATGCAAAAGCAATGCAAATTACATCAATTATATTAATTCATTAAAATTATATGTATGAAACACAATTTCACTTATGCCATCTATGTTGTATATAACATCAATACTTACAGGAAACATAACCTCATGATTTAAATAAAATAAAATATATGAATATGAAGTTGCAATCAAGGCAGAAACAGTTGCTTGTCCCACCTTTGGTGTTATTGCTATTGGTGTAGGTGAAAGAAGATTCTCTCGTTGTCTCTTGGTTATGTCGCCTGGCTGCATAAGCATCATTTCCCCAACTCTCTGCCATTTCTGAGAGGTATCTGAAGAATATGCAAATCAAGAAGACAACATATTATTTCCCTTTCAGTCATTGAATTGTTCTAAAATATTTGCCTTGCCAGTTGTTTGTTGCCACAGTTGTGTTTTTTGCCTTTACCTGTTGGCAGCTTTTTCTGTCTTCTGGTTGTCTTCTCTTGCTCTTCACCTGTTGTGGTGTTAGCAACCAACAAAATGGTATACCCCAATCTGTGGGGTTTTATACCAGCCATGTCCTCATCGAGATTAAGATCTAAATCAGAAATGGTTTAACACACACACACACACACACACACACACACACACACACACACAAAGAGTTCAATTACTGTATGCTGACCCGGAAGAACTGAAGACCAAGGTTTGAATTTAAGGTTAATCCTTCTTGGATAAGAAGTGCTTTTGGTGTCACGTTTCTCAGCATTCAGGTGAAATTGCTTATCCTCTTCATGCAAGAAAATAGTTGACTTAACAATTATTCTTATTACTTGTAAATAGAGAAAACGTATTTTGACAATAAAAAATGTTTTACTATAAAGAAGTAAAAAGGGAAGTAGTCTTTGAGAGATAATCTCTATCCTATCTGCTTTACAAGTGTCACGCCCTGGCTCTGGGGACTCTCGTATGTTGAGCCAGGGTGTTCATTTGTTTATGTTCTAGTCGTTGTATATCTATGTTGGCCAGGGTGGCTCCCAATCAGAGAGGGCTGTAGCTCGTTGTCTCTGATTGGGAGTCATACTTAGGTAGCCGTTAGGCATTCATTGTTTGTGGTTTCTTGTTCGTATTTTGGTTTGTGTATGACCATTGACTGTCACGTCATCGTTTTGTTGTTTTGATCGTGTGATCATTCTAATTAAATAAATATGTTCGCCTTCAACGCTGCGCCTTGGTCCACATCTGTTCCTGACGATCGTGACAGAAGAAACCAACAAAACTGGACCAAGCAGCGTGTCCAGGAGCCATCGCCAGGGGAATCGTTAGCAGATCTCCGTGGCAACCTCGACTGGGTCAAGCCTAGTGAGGAGCAGAGAGGGTGGACTTGGGAACAATGGAGGAAGAGTCTCGACTGGGTCAAGCCAAAGGAGGAGCAGAATGGCTGGAGTTGGAAGCAGGAGAGCGAGAGTTGGGCGAGAACGATAGAGGCCTGGTCCACGGGGAAGAGAGACCCCCAGAATTTTTTTAGGGGGGGGGCTCACGACGTCGGGGCAGCAGGAGGCCGCGATAGAGCGGTCCAGCGGGTTGGCAGAGGAGGCCGCCAGGTTACGGGGGCCACTGGTCGAAGAGGGGATGGAAGGTGTAGAGGCACGGCGAGAGGTACTGGGGTGTGTTACCAGTCCGGTCCGGCCCGTTCCAGATCCCGGTGTAGGGCCAGTGGTGTGTGTCCCCAGTACGGCTCGGCCCGTTCCTGCTCCCCGCACCAAGTCAGTGGTGCGCTTCGTCAGCCCGGCTCGGCCCGTTCCTGCTCTCCGCACCAAGTCAGTGGTGCGCTTCGTCAGCCCGGCTCGGCCCGTTCCTGCTCCCCGCACCAAGTCAGTGGTGCGCTTCGTCAGCCCGGCTCGGCCCGTTCCTGCTCCCCGCACCAAGTCAGTGGTGCGCTTCGTCAGCCCGGCTCGGCCCGTTCCTGCTCCCCGCACCAAGTCAGTGGTGCGCTTCGTCAGCCCGGCTCGGCCCGTTCCTGCTCCCCGCACCAAGGCAGTGGTGCGCTTCGTCAGCCCGGCTCGGCCCGTTCCTGCTCCCCGCACCAAGTCAGTGGTGCGCTTCCTCAGCCCGGCTCGGCCCGTTCCTGCTCCCCGCACCAAGTCAGTGGTGTGCTTCGTCAGCCCAGTCCGGCCTGTCCCTGCTCCACGCACCAAGCCTACGGTGTGCGTCGTCAGCCTGGTAAGGCCCGTTCCTCCTCCACGCACCAAGCCAGGGGTGCGCGTCGTCAGCCTGGTAAGGCCCGTTCCTCCTCCACGCACCAAGCCAGGGGTGCGCGTCGTCAGTCCAGCACAACCCGTGCCTGGGTCACCGGTGCCTGGTAAGGTCCCGGTCAACTGCTCCACTACGGAGCTGAAGCTATCCGCTCCACCAGTGTGCAGTCCAGCTCCGGTCAGCAGGGCCAGACCGGACCAGGGGTACTTTGGGGGTTTAGAGAAGAAGTGGGGGTCATGTCCGGAGCCGGATCCGCCGCCGAGGCGGAGTGCCCACCCGGTCCCTCCCCTGTTGTGTTTGGTTGGCGCGGTCGGAGTCCGCGCCTTTGGGGGGGGGGTACTGTCACGCCCTGGCTCTGGGGACTCTCGTATGTTGAGCCAGGGTGTTCATTTGTTTATGTTCTAGTCGTTGTATATCTATGTTGGCCAGGGTGGCTCCCAATCAGAGAGGGCTGTAGCTCGTTGTCTCTGATTGGGAGTCATACTTAGGTAGCCGTTAGGCATTCATTGTTTGTGGTTTCTTGTTCGTATTTTGGTTTGTGTATGACCATTGACTGTCACGTCATCGTTTTGTTGTTTTGATCGTGTGATCATTCTAATTAAATAAATATGTTCGCCTTCAACGCTGCGCCTTGGTCCACATCTGTTCCTGACGATCGTGACAGAAGAAACCAACAAAACTGGACCAAGCAGCGTGTCCAGGAGCCATCGCCAGGGGAATCGTTAGCAGATCTCCGTGGCAACCTCGACTGGGTCAAGCCTAGTGAGGAGCAGAGAGGGTGGACTTGGGAACAATGGAGGAAGAGTCTCGACTGGGTCAAGCCAAAGGAGGAGCAGAATGGCTGGAGTTGGAAGCAGGAGAGCGAGAGTTGGGCGAGAACGATAGAGGCCTGGTCCACGGGGAAGAGAGACCCCCAGAATTTTTTTAGGGGGGGGGCTCACGACGTCGGGGCAGCAGGAGGCCGCGATAGAGCGGTCCAGCGGGTTGGCAGAGGAGGCCGCCAGGTTACGGGGGCCACTGGTCGAAGAGGGGATGGAAGGTGTAGAGGCACGGCGAGAGGTACTGGGGTGTGTTACCAGTCCGGTCCGGCCCGTTCCAGATCCCGGTGTAGGGCCAGTGGTGTGTGTCCCCAGTACGGCTCGGCCCGTTCCTGCTCCCCGCACCAAGTCAGTGGTGCGCTTCGTCAGCCCGGCTCGGCCCGTTCCTGCTCTCCGCACCAAGTCAGTGGTGCGCTTCGTCAGCCCGGCTCGGCCCGTTCCTGCTCCCCGCACCAAGTCAGTGGTGCGCTTCGTCAGCCCGGCTCGGCCCGTTCCTGCTCCCCGCACCAAGTCAGTGGTGCGCTTCGTCAGCCCGGCTCGGCCCGTTCCTGCTCCCCGCACCAAGTCAGTGGTGCGCTTCGTCAGCCCGGCTCGGCCCGTTCCTGCTCCCCGCACCAAGGCAGTGGTGCGCTTCGTCAGCCCGGCTCGGCCCGTTCCTGCTCCCCGCACCAAGTCAGTGGTGCGCTTCCTCAGCCCGGCTCGGCCCGTTCCTGCTCCCCGCACCAAGTCAGTGGTGTGCTTCGTCAGCCCAGTCCGGCCTGTCCCTGCTCCACGCACCAAGCCTACGGTGTGCGTCGTCAGCCTGGTAAGGCCCGTTCCTCCTCCACGCACCAAGCCAGGGGTGCGCGTCGTCAGCCTGGTAAGGCCCGTTCCTCCTCCACGCACCAAGCCAGGGGTGCGCGTCGTCAGTCCAGCACAACCCGTGCCTGGGTCACCGGTGCCTGGTAAGGTCCCGGTCAACTGCTCCACTACGGAGCTGAAGCTATCCGCTCCACCAGTGTGCAGTCCAGCTCCGGTCAGCAGGGCCAGACCGGACCAGGGGTACTTTGGGGGTTTAGAGAAGAAGTGGGGGTCATGTCCGGAGCCGGATCCGCCGCCGAGGCGGAGTGCCCACCCGGTCCCTCCCCTGTTGTGTTTGGTTGGCGCGGTCGGAGTCCGCGCCTTTGGGGGGGGGGGTACTGTCACGCCCTGGCTCTGGGGACTCTCGTATGTTGAGCCAGGGTGTTCATTTGTTTATGTTCTAGTCGTTGTATATCTATGTTGGCCAGGGTGGCTCCCAATCAGAGAGGGCTGTAGCTCGTTGTCTCTGATTGGGAGTCATACTTAGGTAGCCGTTAGGCATTCATTGTTTGTGGTTTCTTGTTCGTATTTTGGTTTGTGTATGACCATTGACTGTCACGTCATCGTTTTGTTGTTTTGATCGTGTGATCATTCTAATTAAATAAATATGTTCGCCTTCAACGCTGCGCCTTGGTCCACATCTGTTCCTGACGATCGTGACAACAAGAGAGTTCATATGGGGTGTGTCGTGTGAGCTTGGTCTTTAAACAATCATTCATAACAGGTAGCAGTGAATAAACATTGAATAAATAGTGGATAAACATGGAAAGTGAGACCAGAAGGTATTTTCATTTTGCTACATGCATTAAATGTATTTTAATTAGAAAAAACCCCATTGTTAAATACATTGTATATATACACAATTATATATTTACATGTATTATTTATTATTGTAGTTTTTGCAAGAGGGCTACAAAATGTTTACCTCTCAAGTTACTTTGAACGTGAGGGGTTTTGAAACCATAAATTGTTCACATAGTTTTGAGATTATCAGATTTCCAATGGCAGTTAATTTCAGTTCTCCTTAGCTGTGATGCTGTCTAGTTTAGCCACTGCAGAGTGAAGGGAATGCCTTCCAAGATGGCAACTTTTTCTGTCACTTGACAAGACATTGATAGTAGTACTATATACATATTCCCATAATGTACCACTCCAATAGCTATTGTATACATAAGTACATAACTCTCTGGTTGTTTCGAGAAAAAAAAACTCCAAGGGGTGGTCTATAGCAATTTAGGTTATGTGGTTAAGGTTTTTTACACACATTGCACATGAGTTCAAGCTTAATAATCTCCTAAAAAGTTGTGGGAAATTATTTGTTTAAGAAACACAAGAGGATGTACTGTACATTTGGAAAATCTCCTCAGAACATTCACAATTTGTTTCCAAGAGGTTGTCTGGGGTTTATGCATGTGCCTTGGAGGGAACCTCTGTTTTTGATTTAGACACTTCAGAGCCATCATCTTCTGCCTTGCCAAAGAGCTGCATGATGCAAGAACGGAACTGGAGAGAGAGAAGATTAATGGAACATGAGGAAAGAGCTTCAAAATATAAGTCTACATTTAGGTAGACATGAGTGCTTTGATAACCACTTCATTATTACTGGGTAAAAATACATGTAGCTATCTGACAAATACACCCACCTGTTTGTTCATGAAGACATAGATAACTGGACTTTTGGCAAAGTAGGCAGGCATTGCAGCAGCCAGAGGGTGGAAAGCATACCCAGGGTTAGCCACAGCAAAGCAGGCAAAGCAGGTATAAGGTCCCCAGCATACACAGAAAGTGATAATCATGACAACAACCATCCTGGACACTTCCTTTTCAGCCTTCTGCGTTGACTCAGAGTCTTTCTGCTGCACGGCAACCTGTGGTCATTCAGAAGGAATATCAACTGGTTAGATTTAACCCTCTAATATGCATTTCCAAAAGGTACACTTGACCATTACTTTATTGAACAACATAGTTGCTTGCTACAGTATAGTATATTTGAAATATCACTTGATATCACGGATGGTCAGCCACACGGAAATGTAGCAGAAGATGATCACGGCCAGGGGGAGGAAGCAGCATGTAATCATGTTGACTCTAGGCCATTGGTGAAGACTGAGGGGATGACCACAAAGATCATCCAAAGTGTTGAGATATTGTACACCCATCTTGGAGCAATGTGGTAGTCGGGGCCCTCAAAAGGATCTGCAAAAGAAGAAGAGATAAAACAAATAATATTTTAATATAAACACATTTTTAATTTAATATCAATTCCTGACTTATTGATATAGTCATATGAGGACAATAACCAATATTTTGAACAGAATGTGTGCATCAAAAGTTATGAACAAGAAAAACATTGTCCTGACACAAATAATTAAATGTATTGTGCGTACTGCTACTGCCAGTTACAAATAGCAGGTCTGCTGTTTGTGAAATAACTTATAGGAAACTACACTGCAACAAAAGACCTTTAGCAACATCAATTTAGTTTAAAAAGGACACCATTACCCTCTGTAAATCTACAATAACTACAATATTTTGGGGAATGCACAGAATTAGGCTCTTTCAATACTACCGAATTATATCACCCAAGGCACTACACTGTACAAAATGTACTGTACATTTGGTGTGATTGCTGTTAGTGTAGGCGAAGCCTGATTCACTTGATGTATCGACGTGCCCCCTGGCAGCAAACACTCCTAGCTCTGCCATCCTGGACTGGTTAACAGGAGTTCCTGAAGTTGACTGCTGAAGTCCAATCCATTCTTCTCAACTACCCTAGGGCTTATATACCATCCTTTGGATCTTTTGAAAGGATTATGGCATTGGAGGAATTAGGGCAGGGTTGGCACAGGGGCCATGGTATAATTTGTGCCATGGCCCGGACTTGATTGTCTTTTCTTAACCATTAATTACCACAAATGACTAAGTAGGGGGGATTTCATAATCTTGTTTGAGAGGGCTTTGGTGGCAGAGGAGGTTAAAAGTAATTTAAATGCCATGCTGCTGTAACTGGGGCCCAGACTTGTCAGTTGAATGGCATTAGGATAAGGCAGAGCCGCCTCTTCCTATACGCAGACTACGCGTGGCGTGTAGTGCCCCGCGGCCACATTAGGAACTCAGTCGGGGTCTCAACTTACTGTGGAGAGATATAAAAGTAGAATACACAAGGAGCAATTTCTAAATTTGGTTGTGCATCAGCAGTTTTCCACATGTTATGTCAGTCACTAAATTAGCTCATGTCAGCTAAAAATGTTTTGATTGCTCGGTAAGGTAGTCTAGCCAGCTATCTAAACCTTACCAAAAATTACCAACCGGGCACGCAGGGCATGTGCTCAGGGGCCCTGACCTCCAGGGGAACCCCATTGATTTTGTTAGTCACTCTCACACAGATATCATATGAACAAGTCATGGCAAAATGTCTAGAAATGCAGGAAATGTACTTTTAAACTGCCAAAGTTTCTCGCCAGTCCATGGCAAAATGTGTAGAATTATAGGAAATTAGCTTTAAAACTGTACATTTTTCTCTGCCCCATGGCAAAATGTGAAGAAATGACAGAAAATGCAACACTTTCTCTACACCCTATGGCAAAATGTATAGAATTGCAGGAAATGTCTGAGGCAGTGTCTGAGAAAGGCCAGAAAAACTGAAAAGGACTCCTCCCATGGACCGTTCTCTCTTCTCCCGTCCAGCAGGCTCCGAAATAGCTTGTATCCCCAGGCCATAAGACTGTTGAATAGCATAAAATTGTTGAATAGCTAACTACCCATGCCCTCCCTCTCTCCCACAGATTATCTGCATTGGCTACCTGCACAGACTCAATGCCCATACTCAGGTCTCTACCACTCAACCACACACACCTACACTGACACTCTTTACATTCAATCATGCTCACATACACACACTGACTGATACCTTACATATACACCAGTGGCGGTCAGTGACATTTATGATGATGGAGGACAATGTTTTTTTTATGAGCATGGCCTTATTTCTATTACAACATGTTGGATGACTGTCATTCATATTCCATTCACCTAGTTCAATGTAACATCGATAGGTTTAGGCTACTACATGATACTCACATTTTCCCTATCCCATCATGAGGTTGCTACAACCTAGCCTATGAATGAAAGTTAAGTTTACAACATAGGTGGACACAGGTCGAGAGAAAAATTTGAGATGACAGACAGTGACACATGGATTGACATTGACACACTCAATACCGCCTTGCACACTCTTGCCTGAATCTAGCTTATCTAGGGTGTAATCATTAGTCCAACGGTTGCAAACTAGAGTTTCTATTGGACAAATTCAGGTATTTTTATTTCTGTTCCGTTTGCTTCCGTTTAAGGAAAGTTTTTCAACAGAATTGGTGGAATGAATACACCCCTGATCATGCATAAACACAGTTCACTTTCATAGCAGCCACGTTGTATTCCTTCTCGCCTCTATGCACTCTCCTCCTTTCACCTTTTCCCTTCATTTGTGGACTTCAATGAACAACACATCAGCTGTATGACGAATGACGAAATCTCTCTCTTTCTCTAGCTTCTCCTTCATTATTGAAGAAATTAAATTGTTGAAAACTGTTCAACTATTGTCTTTCTCTCTCTTGGAGTCAATTACTCACCACATTGTATGCACTGCAGTGCTAGCTAGCTGTAGCTTATGCTTTCAGTACTAGATTCATTCTCTGATCCTTTGGTTTGGTGGACAACATGTCAGTTCATGCTGCAAGAGCTCTGATAGGTTGGAGGACATCCTCCGGAAGTTGTCATAATTACTTTGTAAGTCTATGGAATGGGGTGAGAACCAAGAGCCTCCTAGGTTTTGTATTGAAGTCAATGTACCAAGAGGAGGACGGAAGCTAGCTGTCCTCCGGCTACACCATGGTGCTACCCTACAGACTGCAGTTGAGGCTACTGTAGACCTTCATTGCAAAACAGTGTGTTTTAATAAATTATTTGGTGACGTGAATATATTTAGTATAGTTTTATCTAAAAAGGATAACTTTTTCAATGTTTTACCATTTGTATTTTTATGAAATTCACTGAGGAGGATGGTCCTCCCCTTCCTCCTCTGAGGAGCCTCCACTGATATACACTCACACTCACTCATTACCATGCACACACCACATACGCCACTGCCATAATAAATTGATTTATTGTATTAATATTACCATTCGTTGCTGGTATACCTTGACTTTTTCCTTATTTTGTTACGTTACAGCCTTATTTTAAAAGGGATTCAATTGTTTTTCCCCCTCATCAATCTGCACACAATATCCCACAATGACAAACCAAAAACATGTTTTTTGAAATAAAAAACTGAAATATCACATTAACAGAAGTTTTCAGACCCTTTATTCAGTACATTGTTGAAGCACCTTTAGCAGCGATTACAGCCTTGAGTCTTCTTGGGTATGACGCTACAAGCTTGGTACACCTGTATTTGGGGAGTTCCTCCCATTCTTCTCTGCAGATCCTCTCAAGCCTTGTCAGGTTGGATGGGGAGGATGAGGAGCGTCACTGCACAGCTATTTTCAGGTCTCTCCAGAGATGTTTGATCGGGTTCAAGTCCGGGCTCTGGCTGGGCCACTTGTGTTGTCAGCCGACGTGAGAAAAACGCGCAGAGGTGAGTCTTACCATCCGTGAGGAACCGCTGGGACAGGATTGCTCCCACCGCAACGTCTAAAGCATCCACCTCCACAATGAACAGCAGGGACAGATCAGGATGCCCGAGGACCGGGGCCGATGTAAAGTGCTGTTTAAGCGCATAAAATAATAAAATAAATAATATGCCATTTCGCAGACGCTTTTATCCAAAGCGACTTACAGTCGTGCGTGCACACATTTTTGTGTATGGGTGGTCCCGGGGATCGAACCCACTACCTTGGCGTTACAAGCGCCGTGCTCTACCAGCTGAGCTACAGAGGACCACGCATCAAATGCGTTCCCCACTTCCGGGGTCCTGGTGAAGGAGGGTACGCTCGTCTGGGTGAGGGCTGTCAGGGGAGCGGCTAGGGAGCTAAAATTGCGAATAAATCGGCTATAACATTTAGCAAACCCTAAAAAATGTTGTAGTTGCTTGAGGGATGAGGGCTGGGGCCAATCCAGTACCACACTGACCTTGGCTGGGTCCATCCGTAGGTCCCCCTGGGTGACGATGAACCCCAGGAAGGAGACTGTCTCTGTGTGGAACACACACTTCTCCACCTTGACGCAGAGCTGGTGACGGAGAAGGCGTTGGAGGACCTGCCGAACGTGCTGCTGGTGTTCACTCATCCTTCAGAAATATTAGGACACTGTAGTCGAGGAGGTTCCGGAGCACGTCATTGACCAACGCCTGGAACACTGCAGGTGCGTTGGCTAGACCGAATGGCATGACTTGGTACTCATAATGCCCACTGGGTGTGTTAAAAGCTGTCTTCCACTCGTCCCCCTCCCGAATCCTCACCAGGTTGTAGGCATTACGTAAGTCCAGCTTGGTGGAGTGGGTAGCAGTTCTTAACCGTGATGTCGTTGAGCACCCGGTAATCAATGCACGGCCGCTGCCCACCGTCTTTTTTCCCCATGAAGAAGAAGCCCGCGCCCGCGGGTGAGGTAAAGGGACAGATGTGACCCTCGACGAGTGCCTCGTTGATATACTCCCTCAAGGCCAGCGTCTCCGGCCGGGACAAGGGAAACAATCGCCCTCGTGTGGGCATGGCACCCAGCAGGAGATCGATAGCGCAGTCGTAAGGCCTGTGAGGATCCCCCAGATCCCAATACTCCCGGGGAACGCCTACCAGGTCTACGCCGGTGACGGCGTCTGTAGCCGCCGTCCTCCCGGTGGCAACCCCAACGGCCGGCTGTGACCAGAACCGGTTCGGAGAGGGAGAGTAACGGAACACTCCACCCTTGGCCCAGACACGCGTCCATCAGGTTTCCCGCGGCCCCAGAATCCACCAGTGCATGCGCCCGACGTGCAGCGCGGGACCACTGAACCCTGACGGGGAGAAAAGAGTCGGGAGTCTCTGGATTTGGGGTTTCGGTTCCGGCTCGCTAACACCCCTCCCGATAATAGCGAGTCCTCCTGTTTCCTGGCTTCTCCGGGCATGAGTCGCAGTGGTGACCTGCCTGGCCGCAGTACAGGCCACGTCCCTGGTTAAGGCGCCTCTGCCTCTCCATCCTGGACAAGTGCGCCGCCCCCAGCTGCATAGCCTCCTCCTGAGGCGTCTCCTCCCTGAATCGTCGGAAAGCCGCTGGGTTGATAGGGGGACGCAGAGGCGCACCTTGCATCATCCCTCTCTCATGTGCCCTCTCACGACGCTGATTGTCTACCCGCAACGAGAGTTTGACGAGGCCGTCCAGTTGCTCAGTCAGCTCCCTGAAGGAGAGTTCGTCCTTCATCCCCTCCGATAGCCCCTGGGCGTAAAGGACGACCAGGGCAGACTCCTCCCATCCTACCTCTCGAGCCAGGGTCCGGAACTCCATGTCCACCACCGAACGGTCATCCTGCCGACAGGCCATGAGCTGCCTCCCGGCCTCGTGCCCCGACACCACCAGAGAGGTGTCGAACATCTTGTGTAGCTCCCGGGTGAATTGGTAGGAGTCGGAGCACGCCGAAGTTTGGCTCTCCCACTCCGCGGTAGCCCAGGAAAGGGCCCGACCCGTCAACAGAGTGATGATGTAGGCCACCCGACCCTGCTCCGTCGGGAAGGAAGAGGGTTGTAGGCTGAATACCAGGGAACACTGGGTGAGGAATTCCCTGCAGCCCTCTGGACATCCGTCATACCTCTCCGGAGGTGGTAGGCGGGGTTCCCGCGATGTCACAGGCAAGACTGGAGACGCCGCTGCCGCGACTTCCGCTCCCCCGGCTGCCGGCGCAGGTCGGGGGTCCACCCGGCTCTGCACGGTGATCTGCTGCAGGCTGCGGTCGTGTTGGTTCAGCATAGCTCCCTGTGTTGCCAATGCGCTCCGATACTGTGCTGCCTCCGCTGGGTCCATATTGGCTCAGTTTTCTGTAAGGGTTGGGGTGAGGTGTGACCCAGGTGCGGTGCAGGATATACAGGAGGCAGGAGGCAGAGATGGTGAAACAAGGATCTTTACTGGTGGTCCCGAAGCCAAAATACAATATAACGGACTTATCACGATAAAAGAAAGGCGGAGCAAATAAGTCTCCAAAAACCGGCTGACAGCCAAAATATGAAATACTACCTAAGACTGAAACAAATAACGAAACAGGGAGAACACTTCTCAAGTACCTGTACATATATCTATGATCAGACACTGAGTAGTACTTCTGGACATAGAGAAACTAGCAGAGAAAACGGAGCAAGGGAACACAGGGAAGTGAGGGCATAAATACACAGGTGAACCGATAGACACAGGTGACACCAATAGGATGATGATTAGTCCCGACTGTGAGTGAGGAGGTGCCTAAGGTTGTCAGAACTGTGACTCCCTCCTGTAACAGTTCTATATTTTTTCAATTCCCCAATGATGTAGACCACTGTACTCTTGGAAACTTTCAACAATCTAGAAATTGTTTTATACCCTTCCCCAGATAGTGTATATGCCTCATCACAATTATATCTTGGAGATCTATGGAGAGTTCCTTGGACTTCATGGTATAGTTTCTGCTCTGACATGCACTGTCAACTGTGGGACCTTATATAGACAGGTATGTTTCTTTCTAAATCATGTTCAAACAATTGAATAGCCCCAGGTGGACTCCAATCATGTTGTAGTGACATCTCAAGGATGATCAATGGAAATTGGATGCACCCGTCCTGAGCTCAATTTGGCGTGTCATAGCAAAGGTGTGTGAATACTTATGTAAATTAGATTTCCGGTATTTAATTTTCAATAAATTAGCAACAATTTCAAAAAACATGTTTTCACTTTGTTATTATAGGGTATTGTGTGTAGATGGGTGAGAAAAAAAATAAACATAATCAATTTTGAATTCAGGCTGTAACACAACAAAATGTGAAATAAATCAAGGGGTATGAATACTTTCTGAAGGCACTGTATGTGGGTTAGACAGATGTAAGCATGGAGGGATTTGTCTTCGGACTAAAGCAGTTTATCTGGACAAGTGGGGTTCCGCAGGATTTAGCCTACCAATGAAAGTCTAATTAGTATTGACAGGAGTGCAGTCAGAAGCGTCTTAATCTCTCCTGATTGATGGTTAATTTTGGCGAGGCGGAGTTTATCAAAAAACCTGAAGGGAGACAGGTTGAATCCCTCGCGGTAGTACACACGCATGGTTAAGGGTTTTATTTAACTACTGGTATTGTTTTCGTTTCCTAGAGCTGTTAAATTGGACGTTTAACTAACAGACTTGAGAAGACCTCCAAGAATGGGAGAGGATGGAGGCAGCAACACGATGACGCGCGAGAACAGTCTGTTAAAGTGTTACCTCTCTGTTTTCTTTTGTCTTTTTGTTCTACTTTCACTATTCTTGACTGTGTGACGATTGACAGATGCTCCTCGATCCTTTTACGCAATTTTTTGTGGGGGGCTGTACTTTAGCACAACTAAACCATTTAATTGAAGGAACTTCTTGTAAAGCCTACCTGCCATCTCCTCCTCATCGAGCTCCTCCGTAAGATGCTGCATCGCTTCGAGGGTAAGTCTGGAATTCCGCTAGTTCTGAACTATTCGTGATTGGTAAAAGTTCACTACTAGCAGAACTCGGATTTGCCCCCGACTTTCTCCAAGAAATCTGACCAGAGGCGAAAATAATGCTCTTGTGTAAATTGGGATTTTGGTATTGTCTTTGTTGTTTATGAAAGACTAATGTAGGTCTATAGGGATATACTGGGATGGAATGGACTTTTCATCATGTAAACGTGGTGTGATCTGAACTATGGTTGCAAATTGTATTTGTGTGGCCTTGCGTTCATTTTACATCATTTCATGATTTAATTTCCTTCATATTACTTTGTTATTGTTATAATAATACTAATAGTAACAACAATACTACTACTAATAATAATAATTTTAAAATTTTAAAATTATTATTATTAGCCTACTTTCGGTGGTATTACTAGAATTGCTGTCATCAATTAGCCTAATTTGTTGGTATTGTTTTGTTTAGCATATTACTTTATTAATAATGTGTGAATACTTATTGATAATAATTGAGTTGTTGTTTTTGCTGATGTTCTTGCTGTTGTTCTGGAAGAAATATCCTCCATTACAATCTATATTTTTCCAGGGTAAATTCTTTGACAGATTTTGCAGTAGCCTACATGGGGAAAACCAGGTAGGTTTTTATTTTTCTTTCATCATAATATAATTTAAATAGCCTTATTTATTAGACTCTTTTATCCCAACAATGTGTACCTTATAAAGGATCTATGATTCTATGTTTTAAATACTGTAGTCTATGCAACCAGGGGCGTCATGCACCCCATAAGTCTGAGGGGGCACAAAGTACTGAGGATGGCTGGGAGACGGTCCGAAGGGGGTCTAAGTTTGAGAATTTTGCATTTTTAAAACACCTGAAACAACTTTTTCCTGCTATATGGAGCCATAATTATTGTGATTAATTCTATGTAAAACATTTTTTTTTTTTTTTTCTGCATATCTAAGCATACCTCTTGAGCGGTCTGTATCCTCCTGACTGTTGGCTATTTTTTAAGGAAACTAAATATGCTTCTCTGCTAAAATCTGGGTAAAAGATTGAAAGGAATGTGAGTCTTATTCAGTACATTTAGTTATTGCTTGCTATTCTAAAGTCTACCAACCTTGCCAGCAGGCATGCCAGCTAAGAGAGTTAGACAAAGCTAGCTACTCTAACTTGATTGATAGCCGGAAATGGCTTCTTCATAGCTAGTTATGAAGTTGGGAGATTGGGAACCTATCTGGGCTGGCTAAAGCCAAATTCATAAAATTGCTAGGTGGCTAGCAGTAGTACAGAGAAACAACAACTAAATATACACTACGAACATCTCATTCCAAAATCATGGGTATTAATATGGAGTTGGTCCCCCCTTTGCTGCTATAACAGCCTCCACTCTTCCGGAAAGGCTTTCCACTAGATGTTGGAACATTGCTGCAGGTACTTGCTGCCATTCAGCCACAAGAGCATTAGTGAGGTCAGGCACTGATGTTGGGCGAGTAGGCCTGGCTCGCAGTCGGCATTCCAATTCATCCCAAAGGTGTTCGATGGGGTTGAGGTCAGGGCTCTGTGCAGGCCAGTCAAGTTCTTCCACACCGATCTCAACAAACCATTTCAGTATGGACCTCGCTTTGTGCATCTGCCAAACCCAGATTTGTCTGTCGGACTGCCAGATAGTGAAGCGTGATTCATCACTGCAGAGAATGTGTTTCCACTGCTCCTGAATCCAATGGCGGAGAGCTTTACACCACTCCAGCCGACGCTTGGCATTGCGTATGGTGATCATAGGCTTATGTGCGGCTGCTCGGCCATGGAAACCAATTTCATGAAGCTCCCGACAAACAGTTATTGTGCTGATGTTGCTTCCAGAGGCAGTTTGGAACTCGGTAGTGAGTGTTGCAACCGAGGACAGACCATTTTTACGCGCTACGCACTTCCACACTCAGCGGTCCCGTTCTGTGAGCTTGTGTGGCCTACCACTTCGTGGCTGACCCGTTGTTGCTCCTAGACATTTCCACTTCACAATAACAGCACTTACAGTTGACGGGCCAGCTCTAGCAGGGCAGAAATTTGACGAACTGTCTTGTTGGAAATGTGGCATCCTATGATGGTGCCACGTAGAAAGTCACTGAGCTCTACAGTAAGGCCATTTTACTGCCAATGTTTGTCTATGGAAATTGCATGGCTGTGTGCTTTATTTTATACACCTTTCAACAACGGTGTGGCTGAAATAGCGGAATCCACTAATTTGAAGGGGTGTCCACATACTTTTGTATATATAGTGTATTTTTAAACAGGACAAATCTGAGGGGGCAAGCATCTGTACGCACCTGTTGCTGCATAGTTGAATTAAGGACTGAGAGCTGTTACGGATTAATTAAGTAATTAAGGACTAAGAGTAATTAAGGTGCAGACTACGCCAACTGCCTTTTACTGTAAAGGAGGCATGAAGATAATGCTTTAATGACTATCCTACCGATCCTTGACTTCGTCGATGTAATTTACAAAATAGCTTCCAACACTCTACTCAGCAAATTGGATGTAGTCTATCACAGTGCCATCCGTTTTGTCACCAAAGCCTCATATACTACCCACCATTGTGACCTGTACACTCTCGTTGGCTGGCCCTCACTACATATTCGTCGCCAAACCCACTGGCTCCAGGTCATCTATAAATCACTTCTAGGCAAATCCCTGCCTTATCTTAGATCATTGGTCACCATAGCAACACCCACCCGTAGTATGCGTTCCAGCAGGTATATCTCACTGGTCACCCCCAAAGCCAACACCTCCATTGGCCGCCATTCCTTCCAGTAGTCTGCTGCAAATGACTGTAACGAACTACAGAAATCTCTGAAGCTGGAGACACTTATCTCCCTCACTAACTTTAAGCAGACACTTATCTCCCTCACTAAACAAGCAGCATTGTCAGAGCAGTTTACCGATCACTGCACCTGTGCACAGCCCATCTGTAATTAGCCCACCCAACTACCTCATCCCCATATTGTTATTTACATTGTTATTTATTTTGCTCATTTGCACCCCAGTATCTCTATTTGCACATCATCTTCTGCACATCTATCACTCCAGTGTTAATACTAAATTGTTATTATTTTGCACTATGGCCTATTTATTGCCTTACCTCCATAACTTACTACATTTGCACACACTGTATATAGATTTCTATTGTGTTATTGACTGTACGTTTTGTTTATTCCATATGTAACTCTGTTGTTGTTGTTTTTATCGCACTGCTTTGCTTTATCTTGGCCAGGTCGCAGTTGTAAATGAGAACTTGTTCTTAACTGGCTTACCTGGTTAAATAAAGGTTAAATAAAATAAAAATAAATTTAAAAATCTGTTTAGCCTTTTGATTTCAATGCATATGAAGGAAGAACATCATGACCTCAATGACCTCAGGCGGATGTCTTTTCTTAAGATTAAGATCACTTTATTCGTCAGTTGTACACCAAAATGTTACTTCCACTTTATCCCAACCCCTCTGAAAGATACACATACATGTTGGAGCAGGGGGCTGCCACACTGGGCGCACGTGGAGCAGTTGTTGTGAGGGGTTTAGTGCCTTGCTCAAGGGCTCACCGGCAGGCAATGGCATCTAGGATTTGATGCCAGCAACCCTCCGGTTGCCAGCTCACTTCCCAACAGATTTTTTCAGTCAGACCTAGGATTCAAACTGGCAACCCTCCGGTTGCTGGCTTGTCTCTCTAATCGCTAGGCTACCTGCCGCCAGGAGAGTGAAATTCCACTTTTGTATTTTATGTTGTTTTATAAGAATAGACAAAGGTATGAAAAAGAGGGGAGACATATGAGAGTGGACAGAGTGGGAGAGTTTCCAAGTTATCTGATGTCACCTAAACTATATAGATACCACTACTCCCCCTATAATTAACTGGTCGAATTAACTCTGTAAAAATGAATACCCTTCTGAAATTCTCCTACCTTTTTCAATGTATACTGTACCTATTTTTATTCCCAAATATTTTGTTACGCAAACTCGATGGGATTATCTCAGGGTCCACTTGGAATAAACAAAATTCAAGGAGCCGCAAGGTGTACTTGTAGCCAAAAGGCCGGTAAATGGTGACATTGAGTCATTTCATCTTACAATCCAAAGGGAATGCATGGAGCCATCTATACACTCGTAGTCCCCTGTGGACCGGTTCGTACATAAAACATTCTCCATTCAGGCTGCAAAGGCGTCAAATTCCTCCTAAACTTGATTTAATGGCGAGGAGGCGTAAATAAATTGGGAAAATATGCCTACTTTCTTTACGAAACATAATTTTACGTTCAACCAAGGGTAAACAACAGACTGCTGCAACCTGATTGGCTGAAGTAGATGCTTCCTCCTCCTGTATGCCATCCTCACTGGCTGCTTTGGCCACTTCTCTATTAACTCTGCTACATCAGGTAATAGCCTACCAAAAACATTTAAGTAAAAACCACCCTCAAGAGCTGGAACCAGTTTAGACGTAAAACGTTGGATTATAAACCTATTCATTAAGGGCCCCTCTACCCAAAAATCATGTTTTCCGTTCATCCATAGTAGATGGAGCCTTCTCCATTTGGTTTAACCTTTGCATGAAATCATTCAATGATTTGTATAGTGACGGCACATTTGCATCGTTCCAACAACTCTCAGCTAAATTCCACCTTCGGAATTGTCATTTATTTGTTTACAGGTGAGCAGCTTTGTCCGTGACATGACCTCTCAATTCCCCACTCTTCCTGTGGGCCCTTCCACTGATGCATATTTGACATCATCCCCAACTGTAAAAGGTATTATTTCTTATAGCTATGAGAAAACCTACTCTCTTCACAATCCTTCATTAGCAGCTATTCAAACTTTATGGGAACAAGATCTAGGTGATGAGTTTACTAATGACACATGGAAAGATATTCTATTTATATATGTAAAATCCTCCACCACACTCACTGGACTAAACACAGAATACCCTACGTAACAGGTTCC